AGAAAAAGGTAAAAACTTTCTCCTATGTGATTCCATATTGTTTAATCCCAAGACCATGTATTATCAAAACTTATCTCGAGAACCACTCAAAATCATGGCTGTACACATCTCACATTTTGGGAAGCACATGGTGGGCTCCTAACAAATGATAGCAACTGAGCCCAAGCTGATGTATGATGATTCATCTGTCTGTGACGAGAGTGTCCTCTCTCAGTCAGGCCTGGGCTCTAGCCACGTTGTCACCTGTGGCTCCCACCTGAGCTCCTTAGCACTTGTGGTCTCCTCTCTCTGAGATGCTTTCCCCCCATATATCCACGTGGCTCACTCTACCACTAAATTCAGGTCTTCATTCAATGCCACCTCATCAGAGAGGCTTTCCCTGACTACCCTTTGTTAGATGGTAGGCCTTTCATCACTACCCACGAGCACTATTTTTCTTCATAACACTTATCACCACCTGATACATTATTTATTCATTTGTTTATTGCCTGTCCCTACCCCTTCCCCCCACCCTACCTCTAGAAATACTGGGCTCCATGAAAGCAGAGGCTTTGTTTTGCTTACTGTTATATCCCCAGCACCTAATATCTGGCATACGGTCAGTACTCAATGTTTGTTGAATGAATGAATGAATCCCCTCAGCTTAATCTGGACAAGATTTTCTATGTCTTTATATACCCAGGGTCTGGCATTAGGGTCCTCAAGATGTGTGTGATAATCATGCTGGTCATACACAGAAATCTGCGCTCTGAAGCCTCTCCCTTTACTTAGCTCAGGGAGGGGTCTTGCTGTGGATGCCAACCCACAGTTCCCTCTCTAGTTCATAAGACACCACAAGGTGAATACTACTTAGCCACAATGGAAGCACTTGGATAGACCCCAAGCTAGATAAACTGAAATCAACACTGACCTTATCATATACAGAGTAGGCGCGTTTACACAGCATGAACAGAGAATTCTATGAAAAGGATCCCCGGCTAAAAATCTCACTAATAATCCTATTATAATACCTAAAAATTTCTGCCACTAGAACTCATAACTTCAGGTGCATCCGGGTATTCACAGAACCAGGGTATATCTCCAGAAAGTGGCTGATTTGGTTCGGCATGGTCACTCAAGACCAGCTCCAAAAGAGGCAGGCTGATTCCTAGAGCCCCTGGGTAGAGGGGACATAGACTGGCTATGTGCACCACCCCAGTGTGGGCAGCCAGGGAGTCCAAGACATAGCGTCCGTGAGGAGGACCAGCTCAAGCTCAGGCAAGGTTAAAGCAAGCACCAGCCCAGGGACAGCCACTCCCACAAGTAGAACATATCCACTAAAGAGCTGAAGCATCCGATGCTAATGCAGAGATCCATCCTTTGGATGCTTCCCAGAGATCCATCCTTCACGGTGGCCTATGGCTAAAAGTACATAAAGCAGAGGCCTAGTCTAAGGAGGAGAAATGGTTAAAAAAAAAAACTCTCAAGCCTAAAAGAAGACTAGGATAAAAGGTAAAAGGCAGGGAAACCAGGCCGACTGTTAGTGAGAATCACAGCAGAGGCCCAGTCCTCCAGCCAGGGCTGGAACAGGGAGGCCTGTGGCCCAGGCATCACTCCCACCAAAACCTAGGCTAAGTCCCACCAGATGGTGAGGTTGGGGTGCCAATAAACCTCCCCTGCAGATCCAGATTAGTACAGATACTGGCGTTAGTTTGGCAGTACAGACAGGGCCCTTCAGCAGTGGGAAGCCAGGCAGGCAGACACATGCTGCCTTCACCCAGATACAACACTATCCTCATCTTTTAAATAACCTGACAGGAGCCCAGAGAGGATTTCCAGCTGATCTAGTGTCTAGTACGTGACCTTGGCCAGTAAGGGATGCACTGTGAAGTGTTCCTTCCATGGTGCCAGGCTGGATTAAGTCATTTTATCACCAGAATGCCCCTTTTAAAATGTAAGAGTCCTTACCGGGTTAGAAAAACATGAAACCACAATTTCCTATTAACATCTAAGAGACAGATCAGAGAATCGTCACCTAGGCAGATTCTGAGAAAATAAACAGAATCGAAAGGTTCACAGCGTTTTTTGTGTGTTTTGGGATTTGCTTGGGAGAGGAGGGGAGTGTTAGAAGAGCAGCAAGTTTCAAGATACAACTTGATTCCTCTCTAAAAAATTACAGCCAGAACATAAATAAGAAGCAACTTGGATCAATCATCAAATAAGGCCTCTGTTGCAGCTCAAAATTTACAAGTGAGACACAGAAATTAAATAAGTAAAGAGAAAACCAAGAAATCTCTGAGAAGACCAAAACAAGAAAGCTTTTTAATAAAATAAAATCAGTTCATTCTTAGAGAAGGATCATCCTGTAGGTCAAAGAGAAAGCCATTTCTTCCCATTTGTCTCAAGCCCTCACAAGAAAGGACCACCAAATCCATACAAATTAATTAATTATGACCAAAATGAATAAAACATAAGAAGAAGTGAACATGTACATATATACACACATATACATATATAAGCCCCACATTTTTCTACAGTCTAGTTCCTCAAAACCCAAAGATGCCTTTACAACAATTTAAATAGACTATTTTAAAGTTTATTAAAACTACTATATTACAGCACTGGACAAGCACAGGGGTCCTGGGAAATAGGCCTCTGGGCCCATTCACATTTTTTACGGGAACATTTAATTGGAAGGCATCTCAACTCTGATCCTCTTTACAGGATTTTCAAAAATAACCTAGGTTTCCAGTTACTTAAACCCCAATTTAATTTCAGAATTAAAATATTACCATCAAGTTAATTACTTTAAACACTTAAAAAACATTTTAAGGTCTCAAATAAGAGAAGGCTATTAAGTATCGACTCCTTTAAAACGTCTCATTTCCTCCATCCCTTCCCTCCCACACACATTAAAAAATCATTCATAAACCACTAACACTTATTATATACTAGACTTTCCATTCTATATATAGATTTTAAAAGTGATTTGTATGAAACAGAAAACTATAAAGAAGGGAAGGATAAACCCCAAATTCAGGATGGTGATTATCTCTGAGGTGGGAGTGGATGGTAAGCTTAAATACTTGATATTTAATAAAAAATAACTTTTTAAAAAGTGAGTTTATATTACTGTCATTGTAGAAGGTATATAGAGACATAGGTAAATGTGATCCCCTCTTCAGAATATTTTTTTCGGTAGCAGTGTTACTCCAGAAGAAGTAAAAGGATTAAGTGTACTTAATTTGTTCAATAGCCAACCTATCTTTCCATTTAATGACTTCTAGAGCATTAACAAACCTTGGGGAAAACATTATTTTTCTAAACTTCTACACAGATATGCTCAATTTTTTCCTACTCTATTGCCCACTCTTTCCATTCTGCTTGCTTACAAAAAAAAAAAAAAACTATTTTCCCTCAACTTCTCTGTAACTTTTACCATTTGATTAAAAACAGCTTAATTTCTTGTTCTCCAAACAAATCTGAAGATCTGAAAATGGGGTCATGCCTCTTTGAATAACAGGCAATAGTACTATTTACATCGCCCAAAAAGGATTAAATAATAAAATTAAATATTTTCATACGGAAAGACTTTCAGTTTGCCTGCTTTGTTGTTTCCAGTTACGTGTTGCCGGGAGGATCAGAAAAAGACATTGGATAACCTAATACCTTTTAACCCCTCCCCTATTCTATGTTATCTATTTTGCTTTCAGTAAAGTGGTAGAAACGTCTTAGGTCCTTTAGTCTGGCTTTGTTCACACACCTGGGGTATTTAATTTTGTAAGGACAGTCCAACTTGAGGATTCCTGTGGTCCTCAATATTACTAAAAGCCCAAAACATACATTTACCTATAATTTGGCCAAGCTAGGAAATGAAAATATGTTTGCTTTTTCCACTGGGATTTTACCAGGCGTTCTTAAGTTAACTGGTTATATTATACTGATCAGCTAGACAGATACATGCCACTAATAAAACTAGAAGAATTAATCGTAATTACTTAACACATGTGGTCTGGAAAATCATTCAAAATATGAGGTCCATGGAGCAAAAATAATAAAAGTGGTCTTTTACCACTGATATTTGTTTTTTAATCTGTATTTAAATAACAACAACAGAGTCTGGGGACACTGACTATCAGTGACACTATCACTGCTATCAGAAACCCCAGAGAATACTGATTTCCTAGATCTGTTAAAAATTCGCAGGTCAACTTTTAATTATCTTTTTTTTTGGTCAGTTCAGTTGCCTGTTCCTCAACCTTTGTTTAAAAAAAAAAAGAAGTAGTAAGCTATGGAAGGTGTTACGAGGGAACAAGTGTTTCCCATCACATCTCCTTCTTGCTACAAACCAAGCTAATGGTCCTAGACTATTCCTCTTCTCCACAGCTTCCAATTTTCCGTAAAATCAAAATGAGGCCCTCACAAAACTACTGTCTTTACAAAATTAAATACTCCAGGAGTCTAAACAAAGTCAAAATAAAAAGGAAGGCCTTAAACCAGTAACCATTAAAAAACAAACTAAGTCATCCTTAAAAATAACCCCCTTTGGGGAAAAGGTGCAGGGCATGCCTTCCTAGAGACTGTCTCCTCCTTCATGAATCTGACCTTTTCCAGACAGCAGCTCTGGCACCCTACGAATCAGTTATCAGTAGGCCTAATGCCTGCTTTCCCATGTGCACTTTCCAAATGGCTCCTGATGCCAAGGGCTGAGATATGACCTGGCCTCTGATGAGACCATGCCTCCCAAGTGGCTTGCCAACTTTCCCTGGAAGCATTTCTAAATGTATTCTCTAACCTCCCTCCTCAACCTCACAATCATGGCTCATCCTTCCTTCCTTCCCTGCACTTCCTATATTCCACCTCTTCATCCTGTCCCTCTAACACCAACTCCTTTCAATCCAAACTCCTCACCAACTTTCAGGAACCCACCCCACCGCCAGCCTAAAACCCCAACTTTAGATCCAAAGGGCACAGTTCCAGCAATTCTGGAACTGGTTTGAGGTGATCTTCTTGAGGCCTACCTGCAGGCAGCTCAGTTATAGCTTCTTCCCTTGCCTTCTCCAGTTTCTCCCTTACCCAGGGAAACTCCTGCAGGGAATCTAGGAATGTATCAAATGCTTTAGGACCCCTGGAAGGTAGGATATCAAGCAGCAGCATTGTTTTCCGGAGGCCTGTGGCTTGAGCTTTGATTTCCTGAACGTGATTTTCCGTCAAGATCCCTTCCTGGTAAAGGTACTGAAGAACCAGTCCCTCCACCAATACCTCTGCACCTAGCTCCAGGCGAAGGGAACGAAGCACTTGTTTGTCTCTAGCCTCCATTTCCCCCTGGGAAGAGACAAAAATATAACTCAGATTACAAGAATGCAGATGAGCCCCTAAAGATAGTGTTGCCCCAAAGATGCTGTTGTGGCAATGTAAGCTCCTTAAGATCAGGGAAATCTTTGAATCTTAGCAGAGTGCCAGGCCATGGTGTTCAATACATGGTTGTTAAACCAAACCAAACTATTTTCGAACGTAGTCAAACATAGTAAACAAAACTGAAGAAGCATCACCTTTTCTCAGTTTTTGCATTTCACATAACACGTCCTTGTGTGAAACAACAAGTTTAATTCCTTGTCCAATAAACACACCGTAGGGTGGAGGGAGTGGGTCAGAGATCCTGTTTAAAAAGCTATTTTTATCAGAGAATTACAGGGCAGTACTTAATTTTAACATACTTGAGAAGAAACAATGGTTTTTATTTTAACATTGCCTTCATCTGAGATTCCCCCCACCCTGCTCCTCCACCTCCTCAGAAGCCGCCACTGAGGATGCATGTGCCATTTTGACTGTGGGCACTTGCAGAACTTGCTCTGCAGTGGGAATGGGAGACAGAATCCAGCAGATTCCAATAAGTTGAAGGATCTTTTTCAGTAAAAGAAAAGGCTCTACACCATCACCTTCAAGAAAAACATTGTTTGTGTCCAGTCTACAATAAACCTTATACGCAGTCCCATTCCTTCTAAGAATTCAGAATCTTCATCACAACACTGCCATAGCCATGCATGCACGGGCTATTTAATGGTTCCCCACCCCCCACCCCAAAAGAAAAACAAGTCCACATTCCGGCCCTGGTCAGCAGCCATGCACGGTTTGAAGCCACATTTCCAAGACTACCGCAGCAGTGAGCTGGGGCAGCTATGTGGAGACAATGAAAATTCCTGACACAAAAGATAAGTGGTGGAGAAAGGGACGTAGGGGGAGCAGATGGGGCTTCGGACACCCACAGACAGTAAAACCACAGGTGGGCAAGTCCCGATCCCTCCTCGCCTGTCCTCTGTAAAGTCCGGGAGGCGGCAAGTGAGGAGAAGGCTGTGCACATTCGGCTGCGACAGACGATTTAGAGTTTTTTTTTATTCCCTGCCTCGGCAGCTGAAACCCTGTTGTGTTACGAACAGGGAAGAACTATGAGAGATTTTCAGAGCAACTTGGTCCCCTAAAAGAACTGGAAAGGATCTTCAGAGAGAACCGAGGGGAGAGCAGATCCCGTTACCACTACTGTCAACCCAAACCCGACCCCTGTCGGAAACCCGGCAAGCAAGTTACAGGAGCGAGAGCGCCACGCAGGGCTCTGGCTGCAGACGCCACAGCGCGGGGCCTTCAAGAAAAGATGGATTCGGAGTTTCTGGTTTCCTGTTACTTACGTGTGCAACCACGTATCTTTAAAGAAAAAAAAAAAAAAACTGAAGCCGCAATCCAGACTGTTAAGAAACCTGTACCATAGGCACCATCTTTGTTGAAGGCGAAACCACTGCACAGGAAGTACTGCCGCCATCTTTGTTGAGGGCAAAAAAAGGAAGTGCTGTAGCCATCTTTATTGGGGGCCCAAGTGTGAGACTGAAGCCTTTTCCGCCATGTTTGTTGTGGGTAAACAATTCAACCGCTTGGAGATGGACAATGCTAGCATCACCCAGGGGGTTATCTAAGTAAGGAATAGTTGAATAATTGTCATGGGGAAATAATTGTCATTGGAAAGACTAGAGAAGGGCCGAGTTTCCAGGAATGACTCTCTAAACAGAATTGCCAAACTCACTCATGACCACAATCAGGAAGATGGAGTCCACTCCACTGCTCCAGCCTCTCTTCAACACCCGACAGAGCAAATGACTGGACACTGGGACACTTCCACAGAAAAACCAAGGTCTCCACAGCTGTGTAATTATATTTTAATATGCCAGCAACAACATCAAAAGAGCACTTGCAAATCTTACTCTGATGCATCTAATTGGAGAAATCTATTTATTTTGTATGCAGAACTTTAGCAGCAAGCGTGTCCTGGACTTACAGTTTAGGGCTTTCCAGATTCTGAAGCACAGAAGTCATGCTAAAAGGAGGGAGGAACAGGCACTGAGGGTCAATCTACTCTGTCACTGCATTCTTCATTTGGAAGGCAAGAAAACTGCATGATCCAAATATAAAGAGATACAAGAATGTCAAGTTATGTGAACTTTTTCAAATTCCTTTATGCAATGAAGCAGTCAATCCATAAATATATTTATTGGTTCGTTTTTAAATGAATTGGATGATACATGCAGAAAGCGGTATGCCTGCTTAAAATTGGTTGACATTAACAGGAAAAAAAAAGATCTCCGCAAATATCATCATTCCTATGGCAGTTTTCACAACCAATGCCTCTAGTGGAAGATGAAAATATCTTTGTAAGAAAATAAGTGGAGAGCAATTCTAAACCTCCTCCCTGAAAATCTTCTGGTAATTGTAACCAGTTTAAAATGTTACTATATCGATATACCATTTTTGTTGTGACAGTATTTTTACATATGCAGAATTATTATTATTGGCATTTTACGTATGTGGAGACTGTGGAATCAGAGTGGTCAAGTGTCTTAGTCAAAATCTCATAGTTAATATACAGCAAAACCTGAATTTTAACCAGGTCCCTCAGATTTCACACTCTTTCCATCACGCCACCCAGCCCTGAATAGTGAAGAGTCTGTTGCTCTAATGACAGCCCAAATATTATAGACAAATCATCCTGTTGCCACCTCCCATTCTTGAGTTCCAGGGACTCTCTTCACTCTCTCCCTCTTCCTGTTTTGCTCCAGAACTGTCCTTTCCTCAGCAAGATTTCCCTCTGTATGTGTACAGGTGCTAGCAACATTCTCTGTCTTCATCCAGATCAACTGAAGACTTCTTGCAACACTGCCAGCACCTGAGATGACTAACTTTTTTGGGAGGAAAAAACAAGTGTACTTTTTCCAACTGTAAACTTTGATAATTTCCATACACATAGAAAAGTTAGGGGAAATAGCACAATAAACACCTGGATAAAACTACCTAGTTTAAAGAAAAAATCTTAATGCCTCATTGTATTTGGAAAGGCTTAGGATCTCCTGGGTACTAAAACGAGAGCATGGTGATGTCCAAGAAGAGATTGGGAGCCAAAGTAAGATCCATAAGCATTCACAAAAGAGAAGCAAAGAGGGCAAGAAGACAGTATGAAAATAGTGCAGGAGTTGAGAGGCATGCTGTCTTTTTGGTAAGCAATATGTGGGGCTAGCCATTAACAGTCTGACTTAAATCCATAAGGTGACGCCCTTGACAGTCCTCTTCCTGTGACAAATGTAGATGAGCAACTATGCTGCTTCTAAGTGACCAGGCTGGTTCTCTGATTGATTAGCCACCTACCATCAACCAGCCTGTTGAAGGACCACCACCACTGCAACCCCAGCATACAACGATATTTACTTCTGAGTAGCACCCAGAAGTTTCAGCTTTACTTAAAAAATATCTAAAACCAGTGGGTCCCTAAGGAACCAAATACAGATCAGATTCACTAACACAGGTGGTTACTCCTCCTCTCTATCCAATCCCTCTCTGTAGGCTGGACTATGCCTCCATAGAGGATTAAGCACCTGTTACCCAGTGTTAACAAATCCATTTTCAGAAATGACAGATGTTTTCCTTTTTCTCTCTCCCCTACAATGTCTACTTATGTCTAAATATACCACTGTGAGTTTGCAAAATAAAGAGTCAAAAAAACAAATGTAGTATTTTTCTGTTTTTGAATTTGATCTTTGGTTTTGAAACCTTCTCCCCCTACTCCCCCCCCCGCCAAAAAAAAAAGGAGATAGATATTTCTGGTCCTTCCTGTTTCATAGATGTGGAGATTAAGCCGTGGAGAAAACAGATTATTTTCAAACACACTTGAAACACTTACAAAAATAGATTATATACCAGGCCCCAAAGAAACCTCAATAAATTCCAAAACATCAGTATCATAAACTAGGTAACTACCATTATGCAATAAAATTAGAAATTTGAACAAAAGGATCACTTCCATAAATCCCATAAATCTAGAAATTAAATGAAACAACTCTTTAACTCCTGAGTTAAAAAAAAAAAAAAAAAAATCACATACTTCAACCAATAGAGTTTGGAAAGGAAAATAAATAAATAAATTTGTAGTAGAGAAACCTGGCAGACACAACCTTAAGTTTAACATCACCAAGAAGAAGTCATGTTGATATAATGGGCACAGTATAATTTGATGAGAACGACAGATCACCTCTGAATATTCTACCCCAAAATACATAAAAAACATAAATGTAAATATTTGTATTGTTGCTGTTCGGTGCCGTTGGGTTGGTTCTGATTCATAGTGACCCTATGTACAACAGAATGAAACACTGCCCAGTCTTGCACCATTCTCACAATCCTTCTTATGCTTAAACCCATTGTTGCAGCCACCATAATCCATCTCATTGTCTTCCTCTTTTTTGCTGACCCTCTACTAAGTATGTTGTCTTTCTCTAGGGACAGATCCCTCCTGATAACCATGTCCAAAGCATGTGAGATGTAGTCTCGCCATCCTTGCTTCTAAGGAGCATTCTGGTTGTACTTCTTCCAAGACAGATTCATTCGTTCTTTTGACATCCCATGGTATACTCAATATTCTTCGCCAACATCACAATTCAAAGGCATCGATTATTCTTTGGTCTTCCTTATTCACCGTCCAGCTTGCCCATGAATATGAAGCTATTCAAAATACCATGGCTTGGGTCAGGCACACCTAAGTCTTCAGGGTGACATCTTTGCTTTTTAATACTTTAAAGAGGTTTCCTGCAGCAGATTTGCCCAATGCAATGCGTCTTTTGATTTCTTGACTGCTGCTTCAATGGCTGTTAATTGTGGATCCAAGTAAAATGAAATCCTTGACAACTTCAATCGTTTCTCCATTAATCATGATGTTGCTTATTGATCCAGTTGTGAAGATTTTCGTTTTCTTTACGTTGAAATGTAATCCATACTGAAGGCTGTGGTCTTAGAACTTCATCAGTAAGTGCTTCAAGTCCACTTCACTTTCAGCAGGCAAAGTTGTGTCATCTGCATAACACACCTTGTTAATGAGTCTTCCTCCAATTCTGATGCCCCGTTCTTCTTCATATAATCCAGCTTCTCGGATTACTTCTCAGCATACAAATTGAATAATTATGGTGAAAGGATACAACCCTGACGCACACCTTTCTTGAATTTAAACCACGCTGTATCCCTTGTTCTGTTCGAACGACTGCCTCTTGATCTATGTACGGGTTCCTCATGAGCACAATGAAGTGTTCTGGAATTCCCGTTCTTTACAATGTTATCCATAATTTGTTATGATCCACATAGTCAAAGGCCTTTGCATAGTCTATAAAGCACAGGTAAACATCTTTCTGGTATTCTCTGCTTTCAGCCAGGATCCATCTGACATCAGCAATAATATTCCTGGTTCCACGACCTCTTCTGAATCCAGCTTGAATTTCTGGCAGGACCCTGTCAATATACTGCTGCAGATACTTTTGAATGATCTTCAGCAAAATTTTACTTGCATCTGATATTAATGATATTGTTCGATAATTTTTGCCTTTAGTTGGATCACCTTTCTTTGGAATAAGCATAAATATGGATCTCTTCCAGTCAGTTGGCCAGGAAGCGATCTTCCAAATTTCTTGGCATAGATGAGTGAGCACCTCCAGCACTGCATCTGTTTGTTCAAACATCTCAGTTGGTATTCCATCAATTCCTGGAGCTTTGTTTTTCACCAATGCCTTCAGTGCAGCTTGGACTTTTTCCTTCAGCACCATCGGTTACTGATCATATGCTACCTCCTAAAATGGCTGAACGTCGACCAATTCTTTTTGGTACAGTGACTCTACATATTCTTTCCATCTTCTTTGATGTTTCCTGTGTCTTCTAATATTTTCCCTGTAGAATCCTTCACTATTGCAACTTGAGGTTGAATTTTTTTCTTCATTTCTTTCAGCATGAGAAATGCCCAGAGCATTCTTCCCTTTTGGTTTTCTATCTCCAGGTCTTTGCATATGTCATTATAATACTTTAATTTGTCTTCTCCAGCTGCCCTTGAAATCTACTGTTTAGCTCCTTTACTTTAACATTTCTTTCTTTTGCTTTAGCTACTCGACATTCAAAAGTGAGTTTCAGGGTCTCTTCTGACATCCATTTTGGTCTTTCCTTTCTTTCCTGTCTTTTTAATGACCTCTTGCTTTCTTCATGTATGATGTCCTTGATGTTATTCCACAATTCCTCTGGTCTTCAGTCATTAGTTTTCAACACGTGAAATCTATTCTTCAGGTGGTCTCTA